CAAACAAACAACCAACCAACCAACCAAACACACTGACAAACAACCAACCAACCAAACAGACAACAACCACAGTGTGCAGAAGATGCTTCTCAGGCCTTTCCAGCTTGGACTCAGAAGACCGTTCCAGCTTGAGCGGACAAACGTCAGGGGTACATGGATACTCATCCGTTTGTTGGACGGACGACTGAAACCGTCCTGGACCGGTAGAACTAGTGGGTCATTGTCCAGGAGAAACATGTACTGTTCAGTGGTTGATGATCGTTCCGCTCAGAGTAGTTGAGTTTGGCACGGAGTGTCGAGACGAGACGCGCGAGATGATTTTCTAAGAATAATCTGTTTTGGGGGGCTGCGGAGCAAAGCAGTGTGTCGGAGGAGCAGCGTATGGAGGTTCCAAACAGAGAGACACATAATAGAGAAAATATGAGAAACAATATACATCTTCCATGAGGGCATTGATTGTTCCAACTATATAGGGATCACTGTTCAGAATAAACAAGGACATCAACACTGCTGGAAATCACCTCATCAGGACTGCCAGGACTGCGTCTCCAACAAAAACCTGCCAAAAGGAAAGTTTGTGGTCAATTGAGCTCAAGGAAGGAGGTCACCTGGTGAAGGAGGTCACCCGTTCGGCACCAGCACCATCCGATCATGTTTGGGTCACCTGGCTGGACTCCGGATCTCAAGGACACCCAAAGCAGATGCTCCAGGTAGCTGAAGCTCTACCAAGACGTCCCTAGCCCCTCCAAGGTTAAGGGGTGTCTTACTAGACAGTCATTAACCACCCCTTGTGGGTCCTGGTATAGCAATATGTTTGACCATCCAACAGCTCGACGTGGTATTCATTTAAAACGGCCTCTTTAAGACGGTGTGATGCAATATGTTTTCTGTGAGTCCAGGTGGCATTTCCAGGTTGTGTTTGTGCAGCAAGGTACTCAATTTGGGTGGAGTCAAATGATTATATAAAAACCAATACATATCGTGTTTGAATGTATTTATACAGCTAAGACTAAGAAATTGAAGACAAGATGACTTGCAGCAACTCAGTGGATACATTGATCAAAGGCAACAGCAAAATGCAGAATGTCTCATGATCGCCCAGCTTATTTTTTCTGATTTGACACAATCTATATTATGGTGTGGGGGCCGACCATGACCATCCCCAATAGGTTTTTGAAACCATAGGTCCTATATGTTTTGGATGATTTTGGCAGTTACTCGTTTGGGTCTACCACTATACCACCACCACGACGACGACGACTACTACTACTACTTCTACTACTTCTACTACTTCTACTACTTCTACTACTTCTACTTCTACTTCTACTACTAGTACTAGTACTACTACTACTACTACTACTACTACTACTACTACTACTACTACTA